AAGGACATTTTTAACATTAAACATTTCAATGCATTGAACATGATGAAAACCTTTTTCACTCAACGAAGGATGGTTAAAAATGATAGTCCATGTAATAGCATTTCAGAAGCCAAATCTCAGTGCATCCCCACCATCCAAGAGAAAGAGACTATATTTGGTAGTGATTCCCATCGGACTTATGGAGCAATGAAATCTCAGAGGGGTTAAACAACTTGTCCAAAGTCACACAGCTAATAATGTCAGAGCTAAAATTCAAACCCAAGATGCAGCTCTTTGTATTAAACCAAGGGTAACATTTTCCCAGCCCCAATATTGAATAAATTTTACTAGATCTATTCTTCCTGCTATATAATTCTCTGCCTTTCCTATTATGTTTTTGATTTCAAAGCAAGCCTACTACCAGGTAAAGAGATTCTGGAATAGAATGAGTCCCCCCTTGTAAATTATTAGCTTCCTTGATTACAAATCAACCTCAGCAGAGTTTGGTTATCATAAGCCTATTTCCTGAGGCCTCTGAGGTACTGTTGGGGAAATGAAGAATAGGTTGTGGGGTTTTTAGACTTGAAAAACCTGATTTTCCGGCACTAGAACTCAGAGACAATGAACATGCAGACAAGCACTAACAGGGTTGTGGGGAACTGCCCTGGCCAGGCTGGGACCAAGTGGGATGGATCCTCCAACTGCCAGCCAGATGGGTCTCCAACCAGGTGACACGAGTACTGACCGTGTGACCCTGGGCATGTCACTGAGCCATAGCTTTTCCTCTATGAGTGGCAGACATCTAGATAAAATCATCTTGAAGTGTTCTTCCAGGTTGACTAAAACAGCAGTAAGCAATGTCATTCACAGGACATTTTCTGCTGCCAACCATAGAGGTCAGGCATTTCTCCCCCTTTAAGCTATGCACAATCTGGGCATTGAGCAAGACTTCTTTCTTCATTGTTTTTCCAGTATCCTCTACTTTCACCAGCCTCCAGCAAGACAAATACTAGGCCAGCCCAAGCTATTTCCCTGTGAGGAGTTCCCATGCGGGGGCTGAGCTGTAACTCACATAGCTCAGTAGAACACTCACTAAGTGGCGACACTATCATAGGTTTATGTGTGCTCTTATTGCCTCTACTCGTTTAAAAGTGTGACCTCAGTCCACACCCCCAAAATGTCCCCAGAGAGGACATGTCTCACACCCAAGTGGTCAGCTACTGTTACCCGGCGCCTCAGCCTTCTTCCTCCTCTTGTGTCCCACAGAGGTGACTCCCAGCTAATCAGAAGAGTGCTGATGGAAGCCAACTCTGGATGTTCCTAAAGCTCCCAGTCCCAGTGACAGGCTGGGTGGACTTTACTGCAGTGAGGAGGGGGGAGGGGGGAGGGGGGAGGGACCCACCCTGACCAAGCGGGGCTGGGCTCCATGGTCTCACTCAGGGCCCCTCCAAAAGTTATATCACTTTGGTCTCTAACTTCCTGTCTCCAGGGGGGACCAGGAGGGGCAGATGCCATTCATTCCATGGCCTCCATCCCCTTCTTCCTCTCCCTTCCCCTGTGCCCCTGTGGAGACTCCCCCACCTTGTGTGTGTGTGTGTGTGTGTGTGTGTGTGTGTGTGTGTGTGTATTGGGGGGTGGGACAGGCCAAGTTTATCCCTCACACATATACTCCTAGTGTTGGAGAGTGAGTAGTTCTTGGGAAGGGAACTATGGTCATTGAGGGACAGGGGAGAAAAGAGTCAGTTTTCACTGTATTCCCTTTTGTATGGTTTCAATATTATACCAAGAGCATGAAATGTTTTTTTTAAAAAGAATGATTTTTGAAATCATCCCACAGGGACCTAAATCTTTTTTCTTTTTTTTTGTAAAGTTTATTTATTCATTTTGAGAGAGAGAGGGTAGGAGAGAGAGAGAGCACACGCGAGAGAGGTAGCTAGAGAGGGAGCAAGAGAATCCCAAGCAGGCTATATGCTGTCAGCAGAGAGCCCAACTCGGGGCTCAACCCCCCATGACATCATGACCTGAGCCTAACTCAGGCGTCAGATGCCTAACCAATGGAGCCACCCAGACTCCCCACAAACATGCATATTTTTAACATTACTTTCCCTCTAGTTTCTTTCTCTCTATGGAAAAATTACCTATGGAGAACTCCCTACTGTCTACCCTTTTTAACTGCTCTCTAAATCAACTAAGGCACTCTTTTTTTTATTTTTTTATTTTTTTTTTTTTTATGTTTTATTTATTTCTAGGAGAGAGAGAGACAGCGTGAGCAGGTGAGGGTCAGAGAGAGAGGGAGTCACAGACTCAAAGAGGCTCCAGGCTCTGAGCTGGCAGTCAGCACAGAGCCCGACGCGGGGCTCGAACCCACGAACCGCGAGATCGTGACCTAAGCGAAAGTCGGATGCTTAACCGACTAAGCCACCCAGGCGCCCCTAAGGCACTCCTTTTTGTCTGCCCATCACAACACTCTCATGTGAAGAAATCAACTGGAATGGCAAAAAAAGGGAGGACTCAAAACTTCTCTAAGTGGAAAGATTCTGTAAAGTTTCACCAATCCTTCCTTCCATCCATCCAAGCATCCAACCAACCTTCCACTGAAATGTCTAGGTCTTGGGATTGCAAAGTTGATCACAGAAGTGGTCCTTCCCCTCAGGGAACTTCCAGTCAGATGTGGGGAAGGCATAAACCCAAGCCTGTGTTGGTGTAAAATTTCTTTGTATTCCCAAACCAAAAGACTTATAAAGATACCTGCCTCTGTGCTCACCAAGTGCCCCTAAGATTGGGCTAAATGTACCTAGGAAAGGAACAGCCCCTTTAATGCCATACATTTAAGAATCAACCTTAAACTGTGATAAACTATGCAATTCCCCCCAGAGTCTATATAACATAGCACATTGTTGGTTTTTCAGGCTTTGTGAGCCTAAATGAAAGTACCAAAGAACAGTTTATGACTTTTCAGGCTTCCTTTACTCTCAACCTGAAGAATACTTGAGAGTGAATGTGGCCAAGCAAGTGGAATGGTTTAGAAAGAGCAGAGGGCCATCTGAATGCAGGGCATTATTGCCACAATGGCAGCCACTGCTGGTGGTGGAGAGGAGTCCAGAGTTTTCTGAGGCTTTAGTGTGGGCTTGTATGACTGGAACTAAATGGAGTTACATCCTATCTATCAGTCAATAGTTACAGAGTAGCCCCTAACTGCCAGGTGCTGCAACACAGACCCGAACAAGATAGACGAGGCTCTCCAGCCAGAAGGAAGTGGAGCTGTACATTGCTCAGGGCATGCTGACAGAGCAGAGGGACCAGCCCAGTGCTACCCAAATTTGCTCAGAGGGGGCTTGGATATGGTCTTCCTATGTTTATGACTGTGCTTCCCTATTTGTTCAGAAGGTTGGTCATAAAGGCAGCATGATGGAAAGAGGGACACAGGGAATCAGGTAATGTGGGGTCCAGTCACAAATATTTGAGGACGCATTGCACTTCTCTCTATCTCAGACTTCTCAGTCATTAAAGAAAGGATTTTGAAAAAAGAAAAAAGGATGTCTAAGGACAATCTGGTTCCAATGGAAGCTCTGATTCGGGAGTCAGGGAACAGAGTGGCACCTCTCTGGGAGTGCTGAGCCAGCTCTTGCACGCACGTGCATGCACACACATGCACGCATACACACACACACACACACACACACACACCATTGCCCCCAAAGTGAGGACAGTGAGATCACTTGCTTCCAGTCATATCTTCCCTCCCAGGACTGGATGCCAGCCGGGGCTCTCCTTTGCTCTCAAAATGCAGGTAAAATTGTACAGTGTCTGCCATTTACACTACCCCCATTCCCATGACCCATCGAAGTCCAAAGCCCTCTTGAATATTTCTGAGAATTCAGAGGAGTTGTGGGGTGATGTTCCATTTGCCAGCACTATGGCTCCTGAACTCCAAAGTATTGATTAGGGGACCATCCCCATTTTCCACATTTGTCTTTGTCATTACAGACACCACATCCTAATACACATGCCTCTGGATGATTCCCTCCCCTGCATCCCAGGGTAAGGGATTGTGTCATACTCATTTTCCACACCTGGAATCTAGTAAGTGTTCAACATTTTCTGATGAATAATTAAAAGGAAGGAAGGAATGTTGTGAGAGGTGTCGTTGAGGTTACTTTGAATGGCAGGTCAAGGCCAACCCTAGAGAAAACTGTGTTAAAGTCAATAAAAGTTGTTTCTCATCCACAGTCATTCCTGCCCTGCCTGCTTCTGATGCCTTTCCGGGTCCTGGTCCAATTCCAGTCCAACCACAAGCTGCTGAGATATTAACTGACAGTGAAAGTTCATACAAGTTCAACACATTTGCTCCCTGGCCCAGCCTGTTTGCCTTAAGAGGCCTCCTACCCTTCCAAATGGGTCAAGTAATACCACTGTAAAGCCATCCCCACTCGGGCTAACCCACACCCAGACAGACCCAGAACAGAACTGACTTCACAGCTCCACACCCAGACTCCCTTACCCTCTGTACAGAACCTGCTTCCAGAAATGATCACTCTGCAGCACTTTTTTTCATTTCTCCAGCTCAGCCTCTAGATTGTGAGCATTTTTGTGATTCCTTTCCCAACTCCAGCACCTAGCTCAATGTTGGAAACATACGAAGACCTAGTAAATGTTTGCAAAATGAACAAATAATGAGGGGGAAAAAAAGAGTATGGATGCAGCCATTTTGAGTCAGTGAAGAAAAATAGCAGAAATGCTTATAGCAGACAAAAGGCAGGGGGAGTAAAAAAAAAATGTAACAGAAAAGTGGAATGTTCATTCAGCATTATTGAACAGATAAGTCATTTGGCAGAGCATGCTGAGGGAGGCCTGGGTTTTCTAAACCCCAGCTCAATGTTGTTTTCATACTGCCTTTATCATCTCTGTCACATTATTTTTGTTTGTGTTTTGCAGCCTTTTGGGGATTACAACATCAATTCGCTGTTTGCTGGGTTTCACAATTCTCCTTTCCCATCAAGCACATACCATGAGGCACATACAATAATTGCTTTTTATATTCCCAAGAATTTAAATTATATTCTGCTTTGTAAACTTCATGATACCCCTTTGAGATAACTGGAAACACCTGGTGATGTTGTGAAACCAGGCCTAAGAATGGCCATTTCCCAGTGTGCTCAGCGGGGCTCCCACAGTTAAGAACACAGTTCCAAGCTTGCAGCCTTCTTCTTTACATGTGCTCTGCTTCTGGGCTTAGAATTTGTGTTCAGCTCAGCTTAAACCTAGGGACAAGTGGCAGGATAATCTGAATTACTGAAGAGTCAAAAATGTATGCAGAAGGGAGTATTTTCCTTCAAAATAGTCTATTAATTTAGGCAAAGGGTTGACTTGAATTAGCAAACTAATTGTTTTTATTCTACAGGTGGCCATGTGGCACCCCAAACTGTAACTACTATAACCACTAGTCAAGTCTGGCTACTGAGCCCTTGAAGTATGGCTAGGCTGAATTTTGAAGGTTTGGTTAAAAACAAAAACCACTCAATAGTTTTAACATTGAACACATATTAAAATAATAACATTTTAGGGCCACCTGAGTGGCTCAGTTGGTTAAGCATCTGACTTAGGCTCAGGTCATGATCTTACCATTCATGAGTTTGAGCCCTGCATCAGGCTCTGTGCTGACAGCTCAGAGCCTGGATCCTGCTTCTCCCTACCCTCCCCTGCTTGTACTCTGTCTCTCTCTCTCTCAAAAATGAACATTAAAAGAAGCTTTTAATAATAACACTTTAATATGTTGCTTTAATATATTACTAAAATTAATTTTACCTGTTCCTTCTTACTTTTTTTAAATGTGACTACTGGAAATTTTTATATTACATAAGGGATCCGTATTATATTTCTGTTGGACAGCACTGGTGGAGACAATGCCTAGACACACTCAGTAAACTATTGTAGCAAAAAAACATAAAGATTGGATCACTAATGGAGTGAAGGGAGAATTCATTACAGGGGAAAATATAGTTCATTTTAGACAAAAAACAAAACTTCGCTTAAATTACTAGTTCCATCATAATTTCCATTTCACAGTGCAATCCACTAATGAGCTAATGCCCAGAGGTTATAATGACTGGAAACTGTCTTTAAAAAAAAAAAAAAAAAAAGATTTTAAGTAATCTCTTCACCCAATACAGGACTCAAATTACAACCCTGACATCAAGAGTTTCCCACTCCACTGAGCCAGCCAGGCACCCTGAAACCATTTCTGTATTACAGAATTAATGGACCCAGTAAATACATCAAACCGCCATTTCCTCCTAAATGAAACCCTGTACCTAAATCTTTACATTGTCACGATTGCTTTATGTATTTTCCTACATCATCTCTGGACTGTGAGCTCTCTGAGGACAGAGACCCTATGTAGGTCATCTGGTAGAATGACCAACGATCCTGGTTTGCCCAGGACTGAAGGTTTTTCTGGGGCATAGGACTTCCAGTTATAAAACCAAGACAGTCCCAAAAATCCTCAATTGCGTTGGTCACTCTGCACGGAAAATACCCCCAAACCCTTCAATATTCCTTGTGCTTGATATAAAATAAGTGCTCAATAAATACTTTTAGGTGCACTTGTGCTAAAAACCGTGAACTTTTATTGAATCTTTTCTCATTTGTGTATAGACACCCCTGATAGAACTGCAGTACCTTCTAAATCAAAAAAGGATTAGCATGAGATGTTTTTTTTTTTAAAAACATATTTATTGACCAGAAGTTTCAATATCAGGATATCTTCCCAGGCATTAGCACTGCAAGAACAATCTTTTGTCCCTGTCAGTGGAACTTTCTTTCATCTTTTTCCTCTTGGCCCCACCTGCACCAGTTTCACCACAACATCCCATCTGCCGATGCTGACTTAGGGGGCCATGGCCATTGCCAAGGACCCTACTCAGGCAGGGGAGACAGCCAGTTTCTTGATCTCAAAGGGTTCCAATGTACATTGTCTGTTAAGCAAATCCAGCACAGTTGTGTCTTTGGGACAGGGAGGAACAAGAAGGATACCGGAAAGACTGAGGACGGAAGGGAAAACAGAAGAATTCCCTGATCCATTACTGGCTTCTTCCAGGAAAAGTATTAGCATATGTGGTACCAGGATTCTGTGACCCCAGCTCAGAAACTTTTCCACATCAGACACAATCTCACAGAGTGATTAAGAGCCTGGGCTCCAGAATTAGGTCCTAGGTTAAAACCTGGCTCTGTATTTGCTGATTTTCTCTGGGCTTCAGTTCCTTATCTGTAAGTGGTAACAAGAATACTTAACTCATAGGCTTATTGTAAGGAGTAAATGAGCTCATGGATGTAAAGTGCTTTGTGCAGTTCCTGGAACATAGAGAGTACTGGATGTGACTGCTCACCATAATTATCCTGTCACTTAAGGTCAAGGGAGAAAGTTGGTACAAAGAAAGAGCATGGACGTTGAAGCCAGAGCTGGAAATACTTCAGTTCAGATCCATACAATTGTGGTCTCTTTGTGCTTCAGTTTATTATTTGGAAGGTAGAATTCCACCTTGTAAGAGTCATGAAAATTAAATGGGGCGTAAGAAGTATAGTGCCAGCTCATGGATCAATGAAGATAATTGATATTGATCAATGAAGATAATTGGTAAGATTCTTTTTTTTTTTTAATGTTTTATTTTTAAGAGAGAGAAGGAATGTGAGCAGGGAAGGGGCAGAGAGAGGTGGGGACAGAAGATCTGAAGTAGGCTCTGTGTGACAGCAGAGAGCCTGATGCAGGGCTCAAACTCCTTAACCTTGAGATCATGACCTGAGCTGAAGTCACATGCTTAACCAACTGAGCCACCTAGGTGCCCCTTTTGGTAAGATCCTTTCTCTATTCAACTCATCTTCTCCAATATAAGTCTGAGAGACCCAGAGGATTTTCCGTCTTCTAGTGTACCTCACACTCCCAGCTCCCATGCCTAGGCTTTACTATCTCAGTTCCAGAAACTGACCCTAAAATGTTAAAAGCCTGCCTAGCACTCAAAATTCAGCTAGAACCCACCTTCTCAAATGTCCTTTCCTCTCACCAAGCAGAGAAGGTAGCCTCAGCCAACCATCCCCTCATTTAATCCATTCCAGTGAGTCAAGCCCTATCGCCCTTAGATAACGTCAGCATTCCACAGTTCTTAGAAAATGGCAACATAGAGAAAAATAATGACAATACAGTGGGTTTGTACATTTTACAGTGTACAAACGAGAGAAAGGAGGTAAAAGAGATGGAGAAGGAGAGATGTAAGAGGGACTGGTCAGAATCTGCAGTCTCCATGTGGCCACTTTCTGCTGGTTGAATGGGGGCCCAAATGATTCTGTCTAGGTGCTAAGTAGGCACCCACATGAAACAGGCTACAGTTAAGCGTATGTTCATTTGTTAGAATCAACAAGTGATTGTCTGTATCTACCTCTAAGTTGCAATGGGTAAGATTGGCTCCTCTGTTTTTTTAAAATATTTTTATATATTTTTTAAGATTATATAATTATATAGAAATATAGTTATATATAAATATATTATATTTATATAGAAATATATTATATTTTTAATATAAATTTTATTAAATTATTTAAAAATTTATTAAATTTTATTAAATATAATTAAATTAAAATTTTAATTTATATATAAATATATAATATTATATTATATTTTATATAATTTTTTAAATGTGGTGAGGGGCACCTGGGTGGCTTAGTCAGTTAAGCATCTGACTTCAGCTCAGGTCATGATCTCATGGTTCATGAGTTCAAGCCCTGCACTGACAATGAGGAGCCTGCTTGCAATTCTCTCTCTCCCTTTCTCTCTGCTCCTCCCCTGTGTGTGCATGCTCTCTCTCAAATACCTAAATAAACTTTAAAAAAATGTTTAAAGTAATCTCTACACTCAACATGGGGCTCAAAGTCACCATCCTGAGATCAAGAGTTGCATGCTTTTGTGACTGAGCCAGTCAGGCACCCCTCCACTGGTTTTTATTTTATTTTAAAATTTTTTTAATGTTTTTTATTTATTTCTAGGAAAGAGAGATAGCATGAGCAGGGGAGGGTCAGAGAGAGAGGGAGTCACAGACTGAAACAGGCTCCAGGCTCTGAGCTGGCAGTCAGCACAGAGCCCGACGCAGGGCTCGAACCCACGAACTGCGAGATCATGACCTAAGCGAAAGTCGAACGCTTAACCGACTAAGCCACCCAGGCGCCCCTACCCCTCCACTGGTTTTAAAGCACTGATTTTCAAAATGCAGTGTGCATCAGAAAGGCCTGGAAAGTTAGGGAAACGCTGGAGAGCTGGGCCCACCCCCAGGGACTCTGGATCAGTCCATCTGGGGCATTTGTGTTTTAAACCAGCCTTCTGGGAATCGCTGGTGCTGGTGGTTCTCTGGCCAGCCAAATACCGACCATTTTGTTCTCTCTTGCATATTCAAAGACTCACACACCCCAAGCCTCCTTTCCCAGCCTCTCCTGATATTGCATTTGCTTTCACATATGAGCAACTCTCAGGTCTCACGTGTCCATTACACGTCTTCTCTTGGAACCTTAGGATAATGAAAAGTCTCTATTGGTCCTGGATGGGCAAGTTCCCCTCAATCAAAGTGAGGTGGGCAACCTGTTTAAAATTCACAAGTCTTGTAAGTGTCTCTAGGTCCTGACAAAGCAGCATGCCCTCTATCTCCCGCATCACTGCTTCTAATCCACCTCCGGGGAAAGTAAACGCTTTTCCTCTGTCCCGTGGATGCTTTACGAGAAGCATGTTTTGTTTCTTAGAGCAGGTGCTTACCAGTTCATGATCTCCTGTCTGAAATTCAGTACCCCAGGTCTCCAGGTGTCACAGGAAAGAACGTGTGACTAGGAGAAGCTACTTCGGGTCGATTTAGAAAAAGCAGAGAGAAAAAAGCAAATGTGGAAACTGGCTCTTTGGTTTTATTAAAATCACTAATTTCATGGACTTCCCCTTCAGCCTCTGCATGTAACATTTATCCATTTTCTTGTTTTAGTCACCACTTAGTGTTGCTGTCAGTGTTGTCATCTTTTTGCAAAACTTCTTACCAATATTCATGCAAATATCCCAAAAGAAAGGGAAAATGAACCTTCCTGAGCTGCCCACCCCCCAGCTCAGGCAGCCTGCATCCAGGTGTTTATCCAGAACCATAAAGACTTTTGAAAGGACTTTACAAGTGTAAAAAGCTCTCAAAACAGATTGATTGACAAAATACCAACTTCGGTCCAACCTCACTCCTCAAAAACTAGTGTTTCTGGAGGCGTGATTTTAGGGGCCTAGGAACAAAGCCTAGATTTGGTAAGTTTAGGAAAGAGAAGTGAAGCAAAGAATCTTTGCTTTACACACAGAATAACTGAAAAAGGAGGCAACTGAGTGAGGAGTGTGGGGGAAGGGTGTTCATTCCTGTTTTGAAAGAACAGAAAGGGAGCATATTTTGCTTTTTAATTTTTTTTTTTTTTTTTTTTTTTGGTGCAAGGCAGATGGGCTGTGGATTGACACTAAATAAATCCCTGAATAAATGACTCTCTCAGCTCTGGGGAGGGGGTGGTGTGGAGGGAGTGGGGGATGGTAGGAAGTGGTTTGTACATATGGAGCAGATAACTTTTTTAAGGAAAGAAGGATTAAAGCAAGAACCTCAGGGCATTTAATAACTGTGGCATTTTATTCTTGCTTTATGTGGATTATTGGGGGATTATCTTTAAAAGCAAGAGCCCAGTCTAGTGTTACTGTTTGACTCACCCTTCATTTCCTCTCATTTAAAATCTGTCTCCTCCGTGATTTTCATTTGGTCATAGACGACTCCGGAGCGTAAAAGAAGTTCTCCTGATATACATGAAAGGCTCCACACAACCAACCTTCTCTAAGGAACAGAAATGAGTTTTACTGTCAAATGCAACCTTATAAGATCGAAAAGCCCAATTAGAAGCATTAAACAGCGGAGCCATACAAGACTGGTGTAGCCAACGGCGGGGGCCTAAGCTCACAGCTGCCGAAGCTGGGGAGAGCCGGCTGGGGGCAGAAGCCGGACCTCTGTGGGCATGCGCAGGCTGGCACCACGTGGTCTCTGCAGCTTCGCGGGGACTTGTGCACAGGAACCAGGCAAATGCTCGTGCTTTGCCTCAAATATTGCAAATCACCTGAGGGAGAAGCTGTACTTCAAAGGGAAAAGTCTTTCCTTGGGCTTTGTGGGGCCTGAAAGCAAGGATAGTCTAAAGTGAAGCCCAGTGGAGGGAAGATTCAGCCTCCTTAAAGTTCTGCGGGGGGATTCTAGACTTAGGGGATCATCTGAGAAAGTTAAAAAGAAGTAGTCATACAGTAGTCTCGGGAATTATGACCTCATAGAGCAATGGGCTTTGGGGCCAATTCCAAAGGGTGGATTCTAGTCCCAGTTCAATTACTTATTTATAGTCTGACCTGGGACAAAGTAGTTAAATTCTTGAAGTCCCAGTATTTTTATTTGTGTGACGGGAATAACAACATTGTTCTCACAGGCTTGTTGTGAGTACCTGTAGCTTAGTACATTGAGCTCTTCTTTTTTTCATACTTAATGCTCCAAACGAATGCTCTTCATTTTCCTGCTGTGTCTGCCTTCCTCCCACCTGCCCCCAAACTCCTTCCTTCAATCACAAGTGCTGCTGTGCCTACCTGCCTCAGGGATTTATTTCATAATGTCAGAAGGGGATCATTTGATGAAACCTGCCAACATTGAGGAATTCCCTTAGCAAACACTGGTAAGGCCTACAAGCTCTGACAGAGCAGCTATTCAGCGAGTAACCATCATTTGCACCTGCTATGAATTATTTCACCACCAGAGAAACTGCCTCACAATTCTGGGTCCAGGTCCAGCTGGAAACAAGAGAAGGTGGGTTCCCCTTCTGTAGTCAGAGGGTAGAGAGCCAGCCAATCAAGAGAGAGCAGCAGATGAGGCAATGGCTAGGGGGTGGGCCCCAGAAAAGGCAGGGGAGTTGAATCAGGGAGAAATCAAGGCAGAGGGTGAGCCAAGGGGAAGGACACGTTGACTTTAGAGGCAGAGTGACGTCAGGGGAGGGGAGAGACTCTAACAGCCTCTCCAGGAATTCTGGTGCAGGGACTCGAGGGCAGCAGTCCTTCCTGACAGAATGATGATCTGAAGCTGTGTCTATGTAGCACTCTGGATTGACAAAGCTAATTCGTATATTGAAACCCACAAAATGGAGGCCACCCCACAGTGCCCTGGCCCAGGTCACAGATCTAAACCTAAATCAGCCTGCATTTCCAGGAAACACCTCATGGCAACGAAAGCTAACATACACCAATCAGAGCACCAACTCTTAGCTCACCTTACCCTAGAGGATAGGACCCGCTAGCCTTATAAGGAAATTCCCATCTCCTAGCCAATCGTGCTGTTTCCTGGTTGCATCTTCCACTGGCTCTTGCCCAAATATCCCGCTGCAAGAGCACTCCACTGCTCGTGAGTGCTGTACTCCCCCAAACCCATGGGTTGTTTTCCCTTAAAGGGAGGGCATCAAATTAATTACTAAATTGTTTTTATTTTGTCATTTGATAGTATAAAAATGGGGAAGGGGTGCGTATTAGGCCTAACAAAGATGATGAGCATGAAGGAGTGAACTAGTTTGAGGAAGGAGTGGCTGAAACTTCTCTTCCTGAGCTTTCCCTGGAAATGAAGGGCAAGATGGAGACTCGGGAAAAGGAGCCAGACCAGTAGGAGGGAGGTGAGGCCAGGGATGGGGCCTTGAGCCACAGAGAAACTTGGCCTAAGAATCTGTATTTTTTTAAAGCTTCCTCTCAAGGATTCAGTTTGGGTGCTCCTCCATTACTGGTGTCATGTTTTGCATGACAGTGAGCCAGCTTAACCATCTGCCAGCTCTCAATTCCTTCTCTCATTGTTATGTAAAGCTCGTGTCTGTGCTCATAGTGGTTTCTTCCCACAGGGACGTTAACAAGGCATTATAGGCACAATTCCTAAGGACCTATGGAAAAGGTTTCAGACTTAAATAAAAAATAAACTGGCCGTAAGCTGGGAAATGAAAATGTACAAAATCAAAATTAATACATGTTTAAATGCCGGCAAAATGTAACTTTTTCATTACTCAAATATAACACAGTTTCTGTTTTGTTATACATAAATTATAGTCAAATATTCAAACTCTTTCCCTCAGCTTCTTCTTCTATAAAATGGGTATATAATAGTAACTTTCTCATAGGTTTTTTTTTTAACATTTTTATTTATTATTGAGAGACAGAGAGAGACAGAGCATGAGCATGGGAGGGGCAGAGAGAGGGGGAGACAAAGATTCTGAAGCAGGCTCCAGGCTCTGAGCTGTCAGCACAGAGCCTGACATGGGACTCCCAACTCACAAACTATCATGACCTGAGCCCAAGTCGGACGCTTAACTGACTGAGCCACCCAGGTGCCCCCTCATAGGTATTTTTTAAATCCTCACCTGACATTGGTGGGGATAAATGTGATGTATGTGAAGCCCTGCAAGGTGTACCAGCATGACGTCAGCAACGGTGTTGTTAATGATAAGGAAGATGATGGTGAGACCATGAAAGCATACTTTTCCCACACAACACGTTTAAGAAATCTCAGTATACTCAGCATTTGTGATGTCAACATACCTCTCTCTGAAATACAGGGGCACAGCAGTCCAAAGCCAAACCGTAGCTCTCTATAAATACACCCCCACCTGTATGTTCTGGTCTGGCTGATGAGGATGTGGCATGGTGCTTTCAAGTCACAAAGTGTGCCAAGTGCTTTCACATCCTTAATCTTCTTTCCTCCTTATTGCTGCCCTTTGAGGTAGGCAGCCAGGGTATGGAAACATCACATAGCACCCTGGAGGAATCAGGCATGAGCTCTGTGACTTTTAACAAGTCCTTTAACCTTTTAGGTGCAGTTCGCTCACAGTAAATCAGGAGAGAGAATTCCTGCTTTGAGCAACCCACAGTCTTGCGGGAATCAAAAGGGAGACTGTGTGTTAAAGTGCTAAACCACATATCCACATATAAATATCCGATCTGCCCTTATTTTGGGCAATAGGAAACTAACATTGACAGAAATGACCTGACGTGTGCACAATCTCTCCGTTTACAAGAGGGAAAGGCAGGACAGGAAATTGGGTCAGTGTGCCTTCCTTCACACAGCACAGCTTCCTGAAAGGCTAACCTTCCCTGCAGGCCCATCACCGCAGAGGCCAAGTAAGGAAAGGCTCAGGTCACACAGACCCTTGCGGACAGGGTTTTGTAAAGCAGACTTGGCCAATAGATCACCACCCTGACCCCATAGGTCAGGCCACCACCTCTCTGTGGGAAGCATGGCTTCCTGTGTCAGCCTCTGCACCAAACCAAAGCCCATTGGGGATATTTAACTCTTTGCTACATCCCAATTTATAGTAGGGTCAGGGGCATGAGGTGCATTGGGGCCTAAGGTTCCTGCTGATGTGGTTATGAGTTGGATAATGGGTGCATTTCTGCCTGAATTCCAGATGACAATAGCTCCCATTTCTTGAGTGTTTGATATCAGTACTTTACCTGTGTCATCTTATTCAATTCTTACTATAGCCCTCTGAGGACATAAGCACTGTTATTGTCTCCATCCTTCAGGTGAAAAAATTGAGGCTCTTACATGTTAAGTTACACTTCCAAGGTAATGCAACCATGTCTGTTAAAAGATAGGCAAGATGAGCGAAATAAGTCAGGCAGAGAAGGACAAATATCATATGTTTGCACGTATAGGAGGATTAGGAGGAACTTGACGGAGGAACAAGGGGGAGAAGAAGGGCGGAAATGGTGGGGGAAAGGGAGAGAGGCAAACCATGAGAGACTCTTGAATGCTGACAAAAACTGAGGACTGATGGATGTGGGGGGGAGGGGGGGTGGGCATGGAGGAGGACACTTTGGGGATGAGCACTGAGTGTTATGTGGAAACTAATTTGACAATAAAATATTTGTAAAAAAAATAAAAATAAAGATAATTTTAAGTAGTGAGAAAAAAAAATAAATAAAAGATAGGCAAGAAAGGGGGCAGTTTGATCTTCAATACCAAATGTATCTTTGGCAACATTGTGGACAGCAAAAGCCAAGTTCCTTTTCCCGTGTAATTTGTTGAATAACCTACACAGCTTCTCTTTAGTAGATCTGAGTAGGACAAGGTTGTTGCTGTTGATTGACTCGGATTTTAGCATGAATATTTAATGTGCAGGGCAGCCAGTACACTTGGCTAATGTAATATTTCAAGCTCTGTTTTCATACTGAAGGGATTTGCCCTCCCTTAATGCATGTCTACATCCTGTCCCAATCCTTCCAACAGCATTTTCCACACAGATAATGCCAGTTCAGGGAGCCTCTTTTTCCCAGCTCTCAGTTTAAGATAGCACTTACTCTTATCTTGAGATAAGGATTTTTGTGATGACAGATGCCACTGGGCATTGTCTTCACTTTTATAATTTCCTTTCCAGGCCCTCCTTACCTTCTTGGTTACAACCCATTGACAGATTCAACTTGGCTGATGTCATTCACATGAATCGTTCACGCCTTTACCATCTATCGATCTCTGTATCCATCTCTATCCCTGTCTCTGTCCATTCTCTTTCTCTTCTTTCAGCCAAGCCAATTAGATTAGCAGGGGACTCTGTCATCAAGATGTACACTCTTGTTTGCTGTGCTTCTGAAAATTCTTGAGGAACAATTGCATACAACTAACATTATATTCATAGTGAACGATGAAATACTTACCCTCTAAGATCAGGAACAAGGCAAGGATGTTTCCTCTTACCCTTTCTGTGAGGCAAATAAATGTATGCATGTGGATTGGAAATAAATAGGCAAAACTGTCTTCATTCATATATGACACAACGTTGTATGTACAGGGGCACCTGGGTAGCTCAGTCAGTTAAGTATCTGACTCTATTTTGGCTCAGGTCATGATCTGGCAGTTTGTGAGTTCGAGCCCCACACCACACTCTGTGCTGGCAGCCTGCTTGGGATTCTCTCTCTCTCCTCTCAGCCCCTCCCCTGCTCGTGTTCTCTCTCTCTCTCTCTCAAAATAAATAAATAAAATTTAAAAAAATTATATGCAGAAAATCCCAAAAAATCTAGGACAAAATACTAGAACTAATGAATAGGTTGAGTTAGGTCCAAAGACACAAGAACTATACACAAAAACCAATTATGTTCCTGTATTTGCACATCCAACAACCCAAAAATAAAGAAAACAATTGCATTCACAATAACATCAAAAAATATGTAGCGATAAATTCAATAGTGGAA